ATTCAAGTAGATCCAGTTCACATTCAGGGTGTGGTCAAAGAAAAGAGAAAGAAGCCTCATCTTAAGAGTACTTTCCCTTTCACAAATGGCCATCATGTGTGTGGGAGGATGAGGGCATTGTTTCTACAGGAGAGGGCCACAGAGACATGTGTCTCCATGGAAGGCCATGAAGAGGGAGTGAGACAGAGAGAGGAGGAGTCAGAGGGCAGCTCCCAGGTTAGAATCGTAGCGTTGGAAGGGATCTCCAGAGTCATCTAGTCCAACCCCCTGTACGATGCAGGAAATTCACAGATAACCTCCCTCTCCACACCCTCAGTGACCCCTGTTCCACACCCAGGTGACAAAAAAGAGAAAGAGAGGCATCCTGTTCAAGGAGATAACACCTGGACACATTTAAGAGTGATGTAGCACCCCCAGTGTCCTGGCATGCTGAGTCGCTCCCTCCAACATCATAAGAGATACAGCCCCCCCCCCTCTCACGCTAACTCGAGATTCAAACTAGGCTTCCTCATGGCAGTGGTAATCCCAGGCCCAGTTCCTTGGGAGGAAGCTCTAATGAATAGGAAGAAGCTGCATGGAAATATGTCTTCTGGAATCATTTATACCCTGGCCTGAGAATCAGCTCCTATCAGTCCAACAATTCCTTCCATAGTACCCCTCTGCACTGGACATGCAGGGCTGCTGCCCACTTGAGAGTTTTCATAGAATCACAGGGTTGGGAGGGGACAAAGAGGCCATCTCGTCCAACCCCCCTGCTCAATGCAGGATCAGCCTAGAGCATCCCTGACAAGTGTTCGCCCTACTACTGCTTGAAGACTGACAGTGAGGGGGAGCTCACCACCTCCTGAGGCAGCCCATTCCACTGAACTGCTCTTACCATAAAGAAACCCTAAGATCCAGCTGGTGCCTTCCCACCCTTAATTTCAACCCATTCTTGCGAGTTCCCTCTGCTGCCAACAGGAACAGCTCCCTGCCCTCCTCCTCTGAGTGACAGCCCTCCAGATACTTCAAGAGAGCCATCATGTTTATTCTCAGCCTCTTCTCCAGACTGAACATACCCAAGTCCCTTTTCTCCATCATGGATGCCAGCCTCTGAAATGGGTTTCTAGAGGAGGCTTCAAGCAAGTTGCCAGCAGTGTTCCCTCTAAGCTGAGTTAGTGTGAGGTAGCTCACAGTTTTGTAGCCTTCGGCTCACACATTTTTATCTTGGCTCAGGAAGGATCGCTCCAGAGCAAACTAATTTATGCGGCAGCCAAATTGCTCGCTCACAACTTTAATACCAGTAAGCTCATAAAGTAGAATTTTTGCTCACAAGACTCCACAGCTTAGAGGGAACATAGGTTGCTTTAGGAGGTCCTTCTGCAGATGGCTTGGATTTTGTTTATAGTTGTCAAGGGCTTTTGTGGCGGAAAGGCAATTTCTTATGTTTTATACCATTTGGTGCAGGTCTGGTTTTCAGTGGTATATATTGTAAGGAGAGGGGTTATAGCTCAGTGGCAGAGCCTCTGCTTGGCATGCAGAAGGTCCCAGGTTCAATCCCCGGCATCTCCAGTTAAAAAGGACCAGGCAGGAGGGGATGTGATAGGCCTCTGCCTGAGACCTTGGAGAGCCATGGAGAGGGGCCATGGCTCAGTGGCAGAGCATCTACCTGGCATGCAGGACCCAGGTTCAATCCCTGGCATCTCCAGTTCAAAGGACCAGGCAGTAGGGGATGGGAAAGACCTCAGACCCTGGGGAGCCACTGCCAGTCTACAGTACTGAATTTGATGGGGCGGGGCCCTGACTCAGTGGAAGAGCCTCTTTGCATGCAGAAGGACCCAGGTTCAACCCCCGGAATCTCCAGTTAAAAAGCACCAGGCAGCAGGTGATGGGCAAGACCTCCGCCTGAGGCCCTGGAGAGCCGCTGCCAGTCTGACTAGACAATACTGAGCTTGATGGACCAAGGGTCTGATTCAGTATAAGGCAGCTTCCATGTGTTCACCCTCTGAGCTATTTAGAAGAAAGGGGATCGGTAGCTTTAAATCATTAAAAAATAAGACATTTGAGAGCGTGCGCCTTTGCGATGGGGCAGAGTTGCTTTTGGCAACGTTACGGCACATGGGTGTGTAAATTAGTGGCTCTGGGAGGTGTCCCTAGAGTGAAATCTGGTTTGTGTAATTGTTTGCGAGCAGGGCAACGGATCACTAAAGCAGTTCCGGGGCTGAGGATGTGGCCCAGCGATGTCTAAATGACAGCTGTTAATCATGTCCCACGTGTGAAGGAAAAATGTGTAATTGTTTGCGAGCAGGGCAACGGATCACTAAAGCAGTTCCGGGGCTGAGGATGTGGCCCAGCGATGTCTAAATGACAGCTGTTAATCATGTCCCACGTGTGAAGGAAAAATTTTATTTCTTTTTTGAATAGAAAGCAATCATTTTAATACTCTGTGAGAACGGGGGACGGCGTAGCTACAGGTTGCTTATGCCGCACCCTGCCCAAGGCTTTCCAAGTAGATGTAATTCCTTGCTTAAAAATGCCACGAGGACCGCAAAAAATATAGCAGGTGTGCAGATTTTTTTTGGGGGGGGGAGAGAAGTGTGTTGTTTTTTTTTTTAAAGTAGTCTTTTCCCACCACACAATTGCTTTGGACCTATCAAAAATGGCTCCAGCTGGGCCTGAAAAGGGCACGCTTCAGAAGGAAACTTACGTTTGAGGGAGGGGGTTCCACAGAGTGGCTTCCGTGATGAGGGAGCTGGCTGTTGTCGCCAAACAGTTCAGGAGACCAGTTCACTGTGTTAGGTGTGGAACAAGTTGCGGAAGACAGGTTTGACCTGCAGAATCCAGGGGTTGCCACTGTTACCTGCTCGGGATCAGCCACATCTTCATTAGCCTCTGTCGGCTGCTGGCTTTTAGGAGAGAACTCTGTTCTTGCCAACCCAGTGGTACCTCTTCGAATCTCCCATCTTGTTTGCCTGTCCGAAAAAGGAGTCTTTTCTGTGATATCCCAGCTCCTCCTCAACCCAAACGTTTTCTGATTCTGGAAAGGAAGTGGCTGCCTCCATTTTTTTTCAGACGGAGGAATCCATTCCGCGCCATCGCTTTCAGACAGCTCCTGGGCTGGGCTACTGTTGATAAACAAACCCCGAGTCGCTGACGTATCCCTAGCGGCAGAGCTCACGTCGCTTGACCTTGTGGACTTCAGGAACCTGCTGACGAGCTGTTTTGCCAAGGGGCCTTTGAAGGCAGGCCTGGGTCTCTTCCATTTGGCATCGATCCAAGGCAACTCCTTCGGTGGCCATTGGCTGAGAACAGATTCCTTCCCCTGAGGGAGCCTTGCCTGTTGACACGGTCGCACACGAGGAGTGGACTGGGAAGACGGCACAAAGTCTTGCGAGCTCGAAGGGCTGCATTCCAACTCGAGTGCCGAACCGGCAACCGGGGCGCTTGCTTTCGGGTCAGAAGCCGCAAACAATCCGAGTATGGATAACCCACTCTGAGAGCTCCTTCGGTGGCCATTGGCTGAGAACAGATTCCTTCCCCTGAGGGAGCCTTGCCTGTTGACACGGTCGCACACGAGGAGTGGACTGGGAAGACGGCACAAAGTCTTGCGAGCTCGAAGGGCTGCATTCCAACTCGAGTGCCGAACCGGCAACCGGGGCGCTTGCTTTCGGGTCAGAAGCCGCAAACAATCCGAGTATGGATAACCCACTCTGAGATGTATCCCAGCTAGCCTCCGACTCACTTGGCTGGCCTCCGGAGGCTGTGGACTTTGCGGTCGACGCGCCCCCCGGCGATGAGAAGGCCTGGCCCGTGCTTAATGTCCCTGTGACTACTTCTGCCCCTGCGGCGCTAGCATCAAAGAGATCGGCTGAGGCGTTGTAACTCCCCTGGGGACAGATGGAAGAGTCCCGTGGCGAATTGCTGATCTCACCCTCTTTACAGTGATTTCCGTGCGTTTCTGGGAGTGGCGGCCCTTCACAAACGTTGTCCAGTCTTTCACATACTCCTTGTTTTGGCTCACAGTGAGACCTTTCTTCCTTTCTCCAGCCAGCTGCATTGTCCTCACGCTTACGATCTAAGCGGGCAGGACTGTTGAGGCAGCTCCTGGCAGCCTTTAGAGAGGCAGGGGCACAGTGATTCTCGTGACCAGTGACATCTCGGTCAACCCCTTCCTTGGGTGACGGGCAACTTCCCTTTAAACCAGAAGGCTGAATTCCAACTGGAGAGAGCCAAGGTAAGAGGAGCCGATGATGGTCGGACAGACGCTCCCACTCGTCCCTTCCTTGAGTAGACAAAGTCCTGAAAGAGGCCTTCGGTTGATACTCTTTGCCACTACGGGACAGCTGGCTAAACCGGTGACAAGAGAGAACAGGTTCTTTGGACAGATCCACCTTCTCAGCCACCTCCTGCAGCTTCTCATGCGCTTGGCCAGGTGTGGATGTTGCAGCTAGCTGAGGGGGTGTCTGGTTAACACGTCCGTGGGTTTCACCAGCCCCTTTGCTTGGGAAGTACTCCCAGGCTCTCGTCTCTGTTGGCGACTCCGTGGCGTTG